CCCTGGCTTCCACGCGGGCCTCCTTTTATACCCTACGAGACTGGATTTTGCTTCCGAGTTTTTGGCCGAACTACTCAGAATCTGGCGCCCGCGCGCGTGTCGCGCAGTGCCGATTGCCATTTTGTGCCGGATCGCGTATTGCGACCGCCACAGGTTAATTAATATTTAATTATTAAAAATCCTATCCAAAATATAGGTACACATTTGTCAAAAACACGTCCGTTATAGGTCCAAAACAGGTCCAAAATAGATCCAAAGTTGGATGTATTTTGGATGTTCTATGGATCTCTAAAGCAGTGTCATTTGGACATCCCATGGGCGTCCAATGGACATCCTACGGGCCTTAAATGGACGTACTTTGGACGTCCGAATGTCCAGATGCGGCCGTCCATCGGGAAATGTCCCGCTGGGAATGTCCCGCTGGGAATGTCCCGCTTTGAATGTCATTAGAAAGTTTTATAAATTGATCTCTAATAATCTGTAAATGTTTTATTAATATTCCCGAATATTCCGTATTTTTTTAATATTCGAGAATATTCATAGAACATTTATAGATCTTCCTAAGAACATTAACAATGGGGCATCGCCAATCGGCACATTCTGTATACATTCATATACCAATTATAGAATATTCGCGAATATTCGTAAAACATTTTTGGAATGTAGACATGTAGATTCTTTATATATTCGGGAATGTTCACAGAAAATTTGTAGATTATTCGAAAATATTTATAGAACATTTAAAAAGAGATATCAAATATTCTATGCGCATACTTAAAACAATTATAAATTATTCACGAATATTCTAAAAAATATTTATAGGATATTCTATACTATAATAAAAATGTTCCAACAACTAAAATATTGCATCATAAAAAGGACAATTATGCAACAGTTCGAAATTTATTTAACACATTTTACAAGGGAAAAACTAGGGGTCCCATAGTAATAAACAGGGGCGCATCTTTCGGAAGGTAGGCACTAATTGTAAGACGGGTCACATATATTAATTTAAATACATTTTATTTAAATTAAGTTCTTATAACAAAGTTCTTATAACAAAGGTCCTAGGTACTTTTTCACTGAAACTTAAAATTATATTTTTTTATACAAAAAATAAATCATAATTGCTTTGATTTTGCATTTTTGGCATTTTTGGCATTATGTAGTAACTATCACAGTTATTATCTTAGGCGGTACTTCAAGGAACATTTTTATTGTTCATCATCATCATACGTTGAATGATTAGCTTCATTCTGCTGTACTGGTTTTGTTTTTAATTTGGCTTTTACCAGCCAAGTTTTAATAACATTGATAATTTCATTATCTGTTATGTTTTCATGACTTGTTTTTGTGGTTAGTCTTACGGATTCTGAAATGATAAGAAATATTATTTTGTTTTTTTTAAATACAATAGATAGTAAATTTCTTAATTTAAAATTTCTTTTTCATTGCAATTCAAACATTTTTGAATAAAGAAATTTGACTATAACCTAGAGTGGTTTCCCAATTTATTAATTAGTTTAACAAAATTATGAAATATAACCTTTCTAAATATCATATAAATTAAGAAAAAATTGGTAATACTTACTAATGACTAGTTTTGCCAGAATTAAGTCCTTAAAAACTAGGTTTCCCTTGTGACCTTCCCAGCTGTATTGTCTTCCAACTTCTGGTGTTAAAATTCGGCACATCACTTTCTTGATAATAATTCGTATATTATTACCACCCTTTTTCGACAATTCCATAGCCTAAAAGATTATAATATAAAATAAATTAAGTATATTCATTTATATAGTATAACTTGGTAAATGTGCATAAAAAGACCCCACCTTCCGATGACCTTGATCTTGACATATGTTGTCAAGGACACCCTCCTGAGTAACTCTTAGAAGTTTTTAGCCGGCGGTCGTTATTCGTTAGAAAGTTATTAACAAAAAAGTTTGGGGTAATTGTGCATAAAAGCGACTTCCTCTCCGATTCGCTTGATTTTTAAATATGTTGTTGGGGATGTCTTCCCGAGTCATTTCATATATATGTATATATATATAAGGGCCGGACTCAAATAGTTTCGGAGATATAGGCTGAAAATAAATACGTAAATCGCAAGTGTTTTTGGCACGGCGCGCTGCGCGCGCCCCACCCCCTATCCCACCACCTCCTCCGCCCACCCCCTCCCCCTCCCC